ACTAGCAATGAACAAACAAAAATAATTAATTACATTTATAAGTGACATTTTAAAGACCAAACATATACGACATTATAATCTTTATGAAAATAGATCAATTTCAATATTGCTTGCCTTGTGTTGTGTGATTTTTTTTTAAAAGGGCAAGTGTTCTCCTGGACAGCTGCCAATACCCTACCGTAAAATATCCTTAAAGCAAGACAAACTCTTCTGTACTAAATCTTTTTAATCTTTTCTTTTCCTCCTCGGAGAAAAGGTCATTTTCTTCATGGAGTGGACTGGAGGCAAAGTCATAGTCTCTAGAATGACCCTTTACAAAAGTAAACAAGGGATATTTCTCCTTAGATGAAGATTTCAGCATCTATAATGCAAGATAACATACCGGATAAACTGTTAATTGAAAATGAAGGGGTACAGTCCCTGGGTGTATTGATCTAATTACAGTCGCACATAATTTGCAACATGCATATTTGTTTTTATTTTCATTTGTCACATTAGAATAAAAACACTGCACAGACTCTCAATAGCCCACTTCTTCTGGTAAATAAATATGTTTCTAACTCAGCCACCTCATGAAACAATAGCCACACTTGGAGTTTCAGGCCCCAATCTTGCAACTTGTTCCACACAGGCCAACTGAACCACTACACATACGCAGAACTCCATTAGCTTCCACTCATGTGTAATGAGTTGCAGAACAGTCTTCATATCCTCTGTCATCTCTTGAATTCCAAGCAGGATTTGAGGGCAGGTTAGCACCTTCTGGAATTTCTGGAAGCATTTTTGATGGCAGAAACAGAGCACCTATAGCCATCAATATTTTTATTAAGTTTAAACATATACATTTAAGGGAAATAAGCCAGCTCAAGAGCAGATAAATCTGACAGTGGACTAAAAATGCTAACAGACAGCTTTTAATTACATGCCAGAAACCTCCCTGGGTATGTCCACACTGCACACTAAGCTTGGGTTCTGATTCAGGTTTGAGCTCAAGCCCCTCGTCAGTTCCCACACAAATCAGTCTGACTCAGGTCAGCAAACACTCAAGTCCCAGGTCCTAAGGCCCTGCCAGTAGGGTGCGTCAGAGTCCAAATTCCTCAGACTCAGGTCCAAGCTCTGTCATTCTGCAGCGTAGATGCAGCTCAAGCTGCAGACTGGAGTCAGAAGGTCTGCGCAATGCAGTATGGATACACTAGCATGGCTGAGAGACCAGGGTCCAGCAATTGTAAACCCAGGTTTATGATGCCGTGTGGACACTCAATCATGGGCTTGGAAATACCGAGTCCACAAGCCCATGTCCCACAGACTTGGATTTACAATACAGTGTAGACATACCACCTGTCTCCTCAGAGACTAGGAAGCTGAGCCTCTATCAAGGAAGCTATTCATGCTAACGGTGATCAGTCACAGGTACAAATAAAAAGTTTTAATAGTAGATGTTATTGGCCCATATACAAAAGGGCTTAAATGTCCTTTCCACTGTTTATTTAAGGGATTCAACACCCACTGAAGTTTAAAAAAATTGCTGATCACCTTTGACAGTAAATCGCAATACACAGCTATAGTATATGCAAAGCTACATTAGTCTACAGATATAACCTGCATTGAAGTGATCAAACTATGAACTCCAAAAATAATTTGTTTTAATGAGAAACAATCTGAAGCACTAAAAACCTTAAATAGATATTTAAGCAGTATGAGCTATTTAAAAAAAAAATAAGGCACTGGAAAATTATGCTCCAAGTAAAATCAGATTCTACAATTTTTACTGTGCTCTGCAATTTTCCACTTTATTCTAGACTATTTAAATTCATTCTATTATTGTACTCTGAAACCTGGGGATTAGGGCAAGGAGAAAGTGAGAGACATGCAGACAACTGAGATGAGCAGAAGGCAATGAAAAGGGAAAAAGAAAAGAATGAGTACTGGGGAAGAAAGAAAAAAGTTTAGACAAGAAGAAAGACTGTAGATCTCAAGGGACTGGGTAATTTTATATAGAGCCTTTCATCACGAGGTCATTAGATGAAGCCAGACCTAGGTCAGTAGCAACTGACAGTCACATGGCAGCTGTTTGGTGAAATAGGTTAGTACACAAAGTCCAACTCCTAAATGACATGTGTCTGCAACACAAAAGCCATCACCACAGTTTCAGAGAAGCCAAAGTAGTATCGAGACTGAACCACTGTCTCACCCTTAAAGGTGGTCCCTCTATGTCAGGACTGAGATACATGAATGAGGCAGCATGGGAGATGACAGAAGATTTTATTCTTTAGCGCCACTATTCTGACACCTCTTCGAGTACTAAATACTAAGGGAAATTATAAAAGATTAGAGAGAAAGAGAAAGTAAACTAGAAAAGGTAGCAGAAAGCTGATCATGAAACAATTGCAGTATGGAACTTGATTAAAATGAGCAATTATTTCCAAATTGCATATCAATCAGGGACTACCGCTACCTTCCAAGTCAATGGGCAAATTCTGGACGTGGGTTTTCTTAATCAGTATTCTAGCTTTCAAAAAAGTTAATGCAAAAGTGTGTATGTATATAACATTTGTTATAGAAGATACTTCCACCCAGATGTTCACGTGAACAGGAGACAATTATCAGAAGAGATCTCATTAATTTGACATGCTGAGTCCCATTAACCAACTGCAATGTTTCTAAAGCATTTATTTCTATTGTATCTGCTCAATGGATACAGATAACAGAGAGGACACACCCTTTCAAATGAATAAGTCCCTGTGGTTCTCAAACATGTATATATATTTTTTTACAACCTCCCTTTTTTGGTTTCACGTACAAATTTGATCACTGTTGCATTTTTACCAAAGAAACACCCATTCTAAAAAAACATGAACAAAGTAACTGAATAGTGTTCAAAGAGCTGTTTGTTTTTCAATTTAGTTGGCTTACAAAACACACACACTCGTGCACACAGGGAAAGCTTTATCCTGAACCAGAAGTATCATTGCTTGAGTGAACTATGAGATGCTGCAAAAGCATGACAAAAACAGCTCTGCAGCCTGAGAACCACTGCTCTCTCTCTCTGACCAAAACAGGAATTTAGCTACATTTCATAATTTTTGTAAAAAATTTAAAGTACACGGTCAGTAATTAACTTTCAAAGATAACAACTTTATTTTTTGTGATTTCAAGAGTATATCTACACTGCATTTTAAAACCAGTAGCAGCAAGTCTCAGAGTCTGGATCTACAGAACCCTATCATCAGGGGGTAGCCGTGTTAGTCTGTATCTACAAAAACAACAAGGAGTCTGGTGGCACCTTAAAGACTAACAGATTTATTTGGGCATAAGCTTTCGTGAGTTAAAACCTCACTTCTTCGGATGCAACCCTATTATGTCACTTGCCACAGAAGCAAGAATCGGAACTCCTTCATTAACCTAACCTGGGTGTCCCCACTCGGATGTACACTGTGCTACCATTCAAGGCATTAAGTTACTCTTAAAGTGATAATAAATGAACAGAAAAGTAGTAGTCAGAGGCAGAGCAGGAAAAATGAACAGACTGATGGGGCAGACTGGAGAATGACAGTAGGATTGTTCTTCACACAATATTCATATGAAAACTTTCCTATTTTTTTGGAAAATACATAATCTATTTTTGGGTATACTTACACTGATGTCATCATATTAATATTAAAGAGCCCCAATCCAAAATGCTAGTAAAATAGTTTTAAGACTAAAATCAGCTCCTTTGACATTAAACTAGATGCTGTTTCAGAGCATCCAACAAATGGATGGGGAGAGAAATTCACCTGGCCTGAGATTTAAGAGGAAGACAATGGAAAAAAAAAACAAGAGAAGGTTCTTACATATCTCAATTTCTCATTCATTATTCTGTCATGTTCTTAAATCTCCTCTCAAACACAGCAGGGCAGATAAACTAAATGTAATGAAACTTTGCTTTATAAACTTTCATTCCATGTCTTTATTGCTTGGAGTGCCTGTCCTCTAAATCTACTTTCTAGTCCTCCATGTCTGAATCATACAAAAGAAAAAACTTCAGCATTAACCAAAAATCTACTGACCACTATATGTGGTTACTAAGTTTAAAATCTGGATATTACTTATTGGTTCATACCTTATCTAATAAAAATATTTATCACTTACATAGAAAGTTATATTTTCTAATGTTGTACAAGCCTTAATTCCTTGCACAGACGTGAAAACCATTATGGCACATGTAATAATATTGTGATGCATCTTTTGTTAATGCTGAATCCTTTTATAGGCAATTTTTGATTAAAAAACATTTGGTTGTTTGGTACCATAGCTAACACAACACACATTAGCACTGTATCACATTATTGGCATTCATACACTGCAATAGTCTAGAAGAAAACATCTGTCAATTAAATTCTAAATACCTAAATAAACCTATTCCTATGTTCTTAAAGTGGAATGGACATGATTAGGCAGGTTTACTGGATGATACCTGCTTTGCAAGTCATAAAAACACTGCTTTATCTTTAAATGTAATCAAAAAAGCACTTATACTAACAAGAAATAATGCACAGTTTTGCTTTGCTCAAATATTTCCATTTCTTAAAAATTTCATCTCCAAGGGATGGATTGCATTTTAAAAATTCCTCTTCAGGTAGAAGACAATCCAATGACTGTAAAAGGTGCTGTCTACAAAAATATTTTCATTTCAATAGTGCCACCTAGTGGAATAATCTTATACTGAGTCTACAAACCAGTGTAGTATCTGTTATTTTCAGTTCTCTTATATTCATCATCTCATCTCTTAACACACAATTACGGTAGTTATTCTCCTTTTCGACTTTACATGTTCATATTATGGGATGTAAAAATATTCTAGAATTCTTGTATGTTTGTGCTTCATCAATAACCCCTATTTCTAGAATAGGATGGGTTCTATTTAGTATATTTAAGACTATATTTTCTATCCTTAATATATATAGTACATACTATAGTGGGTATCAGACAGATATTAATTTCATAATTTCAACACTTACCTTAGTTATTTCTTCAGAAATTCTTTCAAAGTCTTGCATGTTTCTACAATAAAATCCTATTGTACAGCTAGGATCCATGTTTTTGAATGACATCTTTTTGGGGGAAGGACAGTGAAATGACTGCAATTTTGGAGATAAAAACATTTTAAAAGATATTTTAAAGACATGAGGAAGGCACAGATATCAATGCACTTGCCTTTCTATTAATGGTTTTAACATATAATTCACCATGCCACATATGCTCCAAAACCCATACAAGTTTTTTCTGTTCCCCAAAACATTCAAGTTATTGCATCCCTGGACATTCATAAGACCACATAACCTAGTACTGTTTATATTCTATTTACCAAACTTCCACACTAGGCCACATTAATGCCAGTCCAAAAAAGGATGTGAAATCTGTCAAAAGTTGGAGGCTCTAGAAAGCATTTTATGAATATTCCCAAGGTAGAGAAGGTGAATGCTCCTCTGCAAAGTGCATTTGTAGCAGTATTTGAACTCTTACAATTATTGCTTTACCACCACCTCCCATTTCCCCCACACCTCCCTGAAAGAGAAATGATGGAATATATTTTCATTAGCAAGAAAAATGGGTAAAAAAAAAAGGGCGAGTACTACAATATATCACAAGCACAAAAATCCACTTCATATTTTACACACATAAGGATTTTTATTTTAAATGCAAAATTTGTTCTTATGATAGATGACACATTGACAGCCTTTGAAATGGAAACTACGAGCAATAGCTGTGCAAACTTCCCCCCCACTACTTCACCCGGAACTAGAAAGAATACATATAGGGTAGTTCACTTCAGTCTCCATGCCCATTTAATTACTACAGAGTGTGAACATGGGTAACAGTTGTTGGTTTTGTGTTTATTGGAGCTGGACAAAAGTCATTAACTCATTTCACATGTCACAGTATAGCCACCTGATGGTTAAACCATTTGGTCACTACTGATCTAGGCTGCAGTCAGTGATCTAAAGGGGTAAGGCTCTGTATCCTACTACTACCCAGAGATATCCATAACCCAGACCCTCCATTAAATCACTAATAATCCTCTTATAATAGCTTAGTATTTAAATCTAACAAATCTTAACGCTCCACATTTCATGTTCTACTGAGACTGGACTAGTATTTTATTCTCGGAGTACTTCCCAAGTGACCGATAAGAAAGGAAGTAATGTGAAATACATATGTAGATGTGCATCAGGCACAAACTCAGTTAGCTTATCCTTGTGTCAAAATAACAATTGTTAAGTTCTAACCTGACTCTACAGAAACAGCAACAAAGCAAGTTAATATCCAACACTCTATTGGTGTAGAATCCCTCTTCCTAACACCTCCCTACTTTTCATTTTTGAGCTGGGTAAAAAGCAGATCGGCAAGAGTACAGATTGCTACATAAAATTTTAAGGTGTTTCTCATTGTGGTCGTTGTACACTATTGGCATGTACTGCTCTTTACTACTGACTGGTCCAATTACAAATAAAACAGTTTACATTTTACATTAAATTTTGTTACAAAATCAATAAAGACTAGCAAGTTATACTTCTGCAAGACTGTTACACCTATTTATTATGTTTTCCCTAATACTGCCCAAATATTATATTCAATTCACAGTTAATCAAAGTAAGATATTGGGAGTCTGCTTTAAGAAAAGCATTCTAACAGTAACATTAAAGGTGGTATTGGAACATCCTCAGACAAGTTTTGTAGTATGTTCAGGAGAAGTCTTATTAATGCTGTGAAAGTCACTACCACAGAGAGATGTGGATAGGCATATTTTTTTCACTCATCCAACAAATGGATTCTAGAAGCCAATACAGAGTGGATTGATTTCCAACTTATTCTGGACAATTTTGAAAATATTTCCTACAGAGAAAGCTAACAAGCTAAAAGAGCAATTTCTGTTTACGTTCTGACACTTCTGGACAACTCGTACATTACTATTCAATGCACTGAGCACGACCTTCCGATACACGATCCTGTATCCAGAAAAGCAATATGACGTGATCAAGCCAAGCTGGCAGCTTCTGCATCTTCAAAATACATTTAAAGTATATTATTATTTGGAAGTTCATATTAATGACACCCAGCAGCATACTCTGGTGCATAAATCACTGGACTAGGAGCCCACAGATGTAGGTTCTATTCCTGGCTCACTGAGGTGCTCTATGACCTTGGATAAGTCACTTCACCTCTAGAATCATAGAATATCAGAGTTGGAAGGGACCTCAAGAGGTCATCTAGTCCAACCCCCTGCTCAAAGCAGGACCAATTCCCAGCTAAATCATCCCAGCCAGGGCTTTGTCAAGCCGGGCCTTAAAAACCTCCAAGGAAGGAGACTCCACCACCTCCCTAGGTAACGCATTCCAGTGTTTCACCACCCTCCTAGTGAAATAAGTTTTTCCTTGATATT